CGTTGTTGAAACACGTTGTGTCTTTCCGCAGACAAGTATATGTTATTTTGAGGAGTGATATTGACGAACTTAATATTGCTTTTAAATTCAAAGTTGATAGCTTTGATTATGTAATTTTTGCAACAACGGAGAGTATGAAATGCTTTGGATGCGGGAAGGTGGGGCACTTGGTACGCGCGTGTCCAGACAAAAATGCGTCAAATGGTACAGAAGAGGAAAGTGGATCTCAAAATCTAAATGAGAGTCAGAGGGTGGAAGAAGAAAGTGAAGTTGGTGAGGTTTCGGATTTGAGTGTGGGCAATGAAGAACCAGGAAGTAGTGGAGTGAAGTGTAGTGAGAAACGGATTCGAAAAGATGATGAGATAATGGATGTTGAGCTGGATGAGATGGTGGGTGATTTACTCAAAGAGGACGAAGCAGCATTTAAAGTGCCAGCAGTGAAAAGGAAGTCTAATGTTGGTGAGATTGTAATTTCATCAAAGAAAAAGGCACAAGTTGAAACCATTACTAAAAGTTCTCGGGAGGTGTTGAACGATTTGTCTGGCTCAGAGAGTGAGCAAGAACTTTCTGAAGTTCAAGTTGAGGAAGAGGTGAGACAAGACTATAGTGGTTACAGTTTGGAAAGAATGAAACTTTTTCTCCAGCGTACAAAGGGAATGAGGAATGTTGAGGTCATAGACTATTTTCCTGATCTTTCCTTATTTATTGACTCAGTAAAAATATTAATGAAACAGAAAGGTGAAGGTTGTTTGTCAAATCCTGAGCTGTATCGTCTAAAAAAGATTGTACAAAAAGTGCGTCCTCAAGCATTGAATAATGATTTGTCACAAGAATAATAGCGTGATATGGACCTGGCTCTTTGTGTTTTTTTCATCCCTCATAATGAGTAATTTTAAAATATCTTCCCTGAATGTAAATGGGGCGAGGGATGCAAGCAAAAGAGCGCAGATTTATGAGTTAATGAAATTAAAAAATATAGATGTCATGTTTTTGCAAGAAACTCACAGTACAGAGGATAATGAAGTTGAATGGATGAAAGAGTGGGAAGGAAGTATTGTTCTGAGTCATAAGACTGCTCTGAGTGCTGGGGTGGCTGTTTTGTTTTCAAAGACTTGTCTACCAATATCGTATGATGTTACAGAAGTAGTAAAAGGTAGACTAATTAAGATAATAGCAAAGTTTGAAAATGCTAATATGGAATTGATAAATGTCTATGCGCCTGTAAAATCAACAGAAAGAATGTTGTTTTTTGAAAATGTATGTGATAGCATAAAGCAATGTAATACAGAAAATGTTTTAGTACTGGGTGGAGATTTTAATTGTACAAGTAATGACTTAGACAGAAATCATATGGAGCCTCATATGGCTTCAAGAAGTAAATTAATAAATGTGATCAAAACTTGTCAACTTTGTGATGTGTGGAGAACTTTTCATTGCGATGAAAGACAGTATACATGGGCTCATGTGAAAGAAAACTGCATCTCTTTAGCAAGATTAGATCTTTTTTATTGTTTTAAATATCAGAAACAATGTTTTAAATCTTGTGATATTTGTCCTGTTGGTTTCTCTGACCACTCAATGGTAGTAGCATGTGTTTTTATTAATTCTGTTAAATATAAGAGTGCCTACTGGCATTTTAATAGTGCTTTACTTGAAGATGCTCACTTTTGTAAGTGTTTTTCCTTCTTTTGGTTGGGGTGGAAGTCTAAAAAGTCTTCTTTTACATCTCAACAACAGTGGTGGGAGATTGGGAAGGTGCAAATACAGAAACTTTGTAATCAGTACACTTTCAATGTTACTAGAGACATAGTTCAATCCATGAGAAGTCTTGAGATGGATATTGTTGAACTGCAGGCGCTAAATGAAGCCTCTGCAAATCAAAATCAATTGCGGGCCCTTAAAGGAAAAAAAGCAGCCTTAGCAGATCTATTAGGTACAAGGTCTCAGGGGGCGTTGGTTAGATCCAGATTTCAAAGTCTTTCTGAAATGGATGCCCCGTCTAAGTTCTTCTTCAGTTTAGAAAGAAAAAATGGCCAAAGAAAAAGTATTCAGTGTTTACGGGCGGAAGATGGGAAAGCTCTGACTGAGGCCGCTGATATTCGAAATAGGGCTGTCGGGTTTTATAAAGAGCTGTATTCCAAAAGTGTGGTGGATGGCCAGTTAATGGCTGAATTTGTGTCCAATCTACCAAAAATAAATGAAGATTCATATGCAGAACTGATATGTCCCTTAACAAAAGACGAATTGTTTAATGCCTTGCAGAGTATGAAGAATGGAAAAGCACCCGGATTGGACGGGTTGCCTGTTGATTTTTACAAGGCATATTGGCATTTGTTGGGAGATGATCTACTTATGGTTTTAAGTGATAGTTTGGACAAAGGACAACTGCCACTAAGCTGCAGAAGAGCTGTTTTGACTTTGCTCCCCAAGAAAGGGGATCTCAAAGAAATAAAAAATTGGAGGCCAGTTTCTTTATTATGCACTGATTATAAGATTTTATCAAAAGCTTTGGCAAACAGACTGAAGAATGTAATTGGACAGATTATACATTTAGATCAATCCTATTGTGTACCTAATAGATCAGTTGTGGATAATATATCCTTAATTCGAGATATTTTGGAAGTGTCTAGACTGTTTGGGAAAAAATGTGGCCTAATTTCCCTAGATCAAGAAAAGGCTTTTGATCGGGTGGATCATCAGTTTTTATGTCACACGTTTGAAACTTTTGGTTTTCCACCTGCCTTTACTGCCTTGATTAAAGTGCTCTATGAAAATATTGAAAGTGTATTGAAAATAAATGGTGGTTTGAGTTGCCCTTTTAAAATACAAAGGGGGATTAGACAAGGATGTGCCTTGTCAGGTATGCTTTACACCATAGCAATAGAACCCATGTTAAAAAAAATTAGGACTCAATTAGATGGGTTTACATATGAGAGTACATTTCCACCTATAAAGTTATCAGCATATGCAGATGATGTTTTAGTTTTAACCAGTGGACAGAATGATGTTGATAAGCTGGTTGATATTGTTAACATTTATGCAAAAATCTCATCTGCAAAAGTTAATTGGACCAAAAGTTCAGCATATAGAGTTGGGAAATGGAATGGAGAACTGGTATTACCAGGTGAATTGGTTTGGTCACAAAGAGGTTTGAAATATCTTGGAATTTTTTTGGGTGATGAAATAATAATGCAAAAAAACTGGGAAAATATTCTTGAGAATGTAGGAGGAAAACTTGAAAGGTGGAAATGGCTTTTACCTAAAATGTCCTTTAAGGGGAGAGCATTGATTATTAATAATTTAGTAGCCTCCTCATTATGGCACAGGTTAACAGTTTTAGAGCCTCCTGAAGGGGTTCTTGGAAAAATACAGGCCAAGATGATCAACTTCTTTTGGGATAAACTACATTGGTTACCGAGGAGTGTTCTGTACCTTCCAAAGGAAGAAGGGGGACAAGGGGTTGTTGACCTTGTAAGCAGGAAAGTAGCGTTCAGGCTACAGTTTGTCCAAAAGTTTTTATACAGTCCCAGTATTTCGTGGTTTGGACCAGCCTGTTGCCTTTTGAGTAAGGTTGGTGGGTGGGGTTTTAGAAGAAATATCTTCTGGACAGATTGTAGGAGTTTTAATCTGAAGTCCATCTCTACCTTCTATGAAAGTTTAAGAAAAGCATGGTGTATGGTACAGGCCAAAATAACATTGTCATATCAGTCACTGTTTTGGTTTTTGGAGGAGCCATTGATTAATGGTGCTCGATTCAACTTATGTGGAAATACAACTTTGTGGTTGATGCAAGTTTTAACAAAAGCCAAAGTTGTCAAAATGAAAGACTTGATAGAAGTTGCTGGTATCGCGTTGGACAATGCTGATGCACTCGCACAGAGACTTGGAATTAAATCAACAAGGACAGTCTATTTTTTATTAAATAAGTGCAGAGAAAATTTGAGTGAAGAAGACTGGAACTTTTTGTCAAGTCAAGCTCTTCCTGATGAAACGGATCATTTTCCCAGTATGGTGATATCTAAAAGTGTAACAGAAAATGAAAATGTTTTAATGACCCCAGAGAATTCGAGAGAGATAATGTTTGATACAATGGGTGGAAAGAGTTTATATGCAGTTTGTGTGAAGGTGATAAATAAAGAGAAATTAAAACTGGCAGATACACCATGGAGAGATCATTTAAGTGTTGATTTTGATGTCAAACCATGTTGGGGCTCTTGTTACAAACCACCATTGACAAAAAATGTGGGTGATCTTCAATGGAGAATTTTACATGGAATTGTTGCTATAAATGCTTTTATTTCATTGTTGAATCCGAATGTGCAAGATAATTGTCCCTTTTGTGGTGAAAGAGAAACCATATTTCATTGTTTATTGTTTATTGTTTCATTGTTTATTGGAGGTTTTTTTTACAAATGTGGATGAAATATTTACAAGGATCGTGTTTATTTTTGGTTTTAATTTTTGTAAAGGAAAAATGAAGAAAGGACGGTTGTTAAACTTTATCCTAGGTCAAGCTAAAATGGCAGTTTATCTTAGTAGGAAATATGAAATTGCTGGTAGTAGTAAAAATGTTGAATTGTTGTTTAAGGGGCTTATAAAAGCAAGAATAAAACATGATTTTATTTTTTATTCTCATATGAGAAAATTGGAAATCTTTGAAGAGGGCTGGTGTGTACAAAGAATGTTGTGTTGGACTGAAAATGACACATTGCACTTCGTTGGAGATTGAGTAGGCCTAAATGTGATTTTATGTAAATGTAGTGTTGTTTATTTTATTTTGTTTGTTGGATGTTAATAAATGTGTGTTAAATCTCAAATCTCTCTCTCTCTCTCTCTCTCTCTCTCTCTCTCTCTCTCTCTCTCTCTCTCTCTCTCTCTCTTCTCTCTCTCTCTCTCTCTCTCTCTCTCTCTCTCTCTCTCTCTCTCTCTCTCTCTCTCTCTCTCTCTCTCTCTCTCTCTCTCTCTCTCTCTCTCTCTCTCTCTCTCTCTCTCTCTCTCAGGTCATGTGCAGCTGACCTATTTCTGTAGCTGGAGTGATGTAGAGGAGTCATGTGACCCTAATGCCTTCTCGAAGATGTACTGCGCACCAGGTCAGCTTTTCTTAACATTATAGACACATTCTGTACTGTTTTTGTGCTCTTTCTTTAAATGGTATGTCATCTTTCTTTGAGTTCACCATCCACCACAATCAATTATGGAGTTTTATAAAAAATATATATATTTAAAGGGGTGGTATAATGCCCTTTTCACAAGATGTAAAATAAGTCTTTGATGTCCCCAGAGTGTGTATGTTAAGTTTTAGCTCAAAATACCCACAGATATTTTTATATAGCATGTTAAAATTGTCACTTTTACGGGTGAGCAAAAACGCACAGTTTTTGTGTCTGTCCCTTTAAATGCAAATGAGCTGCTGCTCCCGGCACAGGGGCGGAGTTTCAACAGCTTGTGTCCTTTTACCTCACACAGACATGCACTGAACATTTTAAAAACTTTTAGCCTTTTATGTACAAACCGGAGTCAGACAGTGATGGAGAGACTCAAGAAGAAGCAACATGACATTTCTGAATGGTTAGTTGATGAATTTAGGTAGCTTATGTGTAGTTATCTTCTAGTCATTGATTAGCATATTCTGTCATGATAATCTATAAATCGTGTTCCTGTGGGCGAGGTTTATGTAAATTTTAGGGTTCGTGATGTCACTAACCCGGGAGGAGCTCGTGTAGTCCCTACCAGCCGTTTGTTGTAGTCCTTAAAAAGCAATTTCTTTAAAAGCAAATATCTCCCTTTGCTTTGAACTTTAAGCATTGCAACTTTACTGATGTTTATGCTCAAACAGCAACATTACACATTAAAGTTAGAAAAGTGAAATCATAATCAACCACCCCTTTAAGGCAGAATCTTATTTTCTTAGGCATACAGCTTTCTGGAAGAAGGAGCTCTTGCATTAAAAATGGTCTCTGTAATCTTAATCCCTATTCGGACGGGACTCGTTTAACATGGAGAGGTGGGGTAAAGTAATTGTTACCTGAGCTTCTCAGTGATTTTAGTTCCGTCCGAATGTGCATCTCAGTAATTATTACGGACAATGTCAGTGAGGATTACGGCAACTTTAACCTTCTGTAAAAAGGTCCGGAAAATGACCTCACTAATCCCGTGCGAATAGACCCGCTGTAAAAATGTACGTAAAAATGTAATCTCTTGTTTAAAAGTAGTTTTTCAAGTATCGAGGCGCTCGAAGCATTCAGTTGCATTCTAGGCGGTGGGACAAGTCATACCATTCAGATCAAAAAGAAGATCGAAAGCTTTTAGCGTTAGGTAAGTGCCCATTACCAACATAATCCAATCTGAATTGAATCAAAGGTACAATATGTAAGAATTTTGTATCAAAATATCCAAAAACCACCTGCACAGTGTTATATATTTCTTTCATAGTGTACTTCCATTATCCAAAATGTTTCCAAGTATTTGTAAATTCAGAGAAATTTACAATTTTAAAAAGTGCCCGTCCCTGTTCACTTGTCGCCTGTCAATGACGTAATATCCGCGTTATCCCTGGTTTCCGTTTGTACTGCCATAGTGACCGTGGCGACAGACGTGGACAACTGCGTAGTGCGTTACGTCTAGCGACACACTGTTGTTGTTTCGTTCAAACATTATAGACCAGGGGTCTCAAACTCAACTTAACTGGGGGCCGCTGAGGTGGAGTCTGGGTCAGGCTGGGCCGCATCAAGTATTCCACAAAAAAATAGTATTCAGTATTCCAAAAAAGGAGCACAGCTGATCCAATCTTCTCAATCTTATTATTAACGTTTCTTCTGAACTGTTCCTCTGAATTTGAACATTCCTTTCTGTACATGATTGGTTCTTCATGAGCTGTCCTTCTGACAGTTGAAGTTCATTTTACAAACTTTCTTTGTCTTTTTCTTATACACAACATCTTTGTGATACTTCATTTTACAAACATTCTTTTCCTTATAACACATCTTTGTGATACTTATATTTGCTCATGTCCTTTTTATTTTCTTTATACAACACATTAATATGATATTGAATGTTTTTTTGGAAGGCACATTTCCTTTTATTATACTTAGAAGAACAACTATTGCTTTGAAATACAAATATGTCATGTCTGCCCCATCTTATTGAATTCTTTCTACACATGTATAGTGTCTCAGGCAAATTACTGACTTTGCACAAATCAAAGCAAACCTTCTTATCAACCTGTTGGACACATATTACAAGCTCAAAATGATTATTCTCACATTGTTTCAGAGCAGGGGTCTCCAACACGTCGCTCGCGATCTACCAGTAGCTCGTGGCCTGATTGGTGGTAGCTCGCCAAGGGGCCTGTTCACATATCGCGCTCACATATTTTGCGCGCTCAAGTTCGTTATTTCAAATGTAGGCGCAAGAAGCGCGATCATAATTGAAGCGACGCACTCATTTTTTCCAGGGCGCAGTATGTTTGTACTTTGCGGTTGTCTATGGACAACTATTGACAACAAACCCACCGTAAGCTGTCACGAGACTATCTATGGTAGGTAGCCCATAAGGGATAAAAAAAAAAAAAAAACACGGCACACGCAACGACGGGCCGCACTAACATTACACTTTAATGTCAAGTACGGGGCCACAAAATATCACCGTGAGTTTGAGACCACTGTTATAGACCATGGCAAGCAGATTTTGGGACAAAAGGAGAGTTAAAACCAGGATCAATATCAGCGTGGCGTTTTTGAGATGCGTTTCCTTTCCTTTCCTTTCCTTTCAGCCAGTAAGGGACGGACTATTCGAGCCACACGCTATTAAGCCTGAAGGGGAGTAAGGCCATGAAGTGACAGACTGCATAAGTTGTGTGCTCTGTGGCACTACCCTCCAGATCAATCCCCCGTTTGGTCTTCTTGACTTCCTCAGAAGTAAAGCCAGCCCCCTCGTCAAAGTCCTGAAAGACGCTACATCTGCAGAACCGCCATGGTATGCAGCTCCACACCCGCAGCCATTTAAGACTTTAAGACGGCTTAGACAGTGGTGTTAGATGCGATCTCAAAGTAAGAGCTGTAGACCGTGAGAGATGGACCTCGAGCATCTCCTGAGGGGTACATCACAATGAGGGCTTCTGGGCTCAGCACAAATTCTCATGTCATGTCAATAATTAGTAGCCTGGATGCCAGCCCAAACCCCGCCCACAAAATTTTTTGGTCGGGAAGTTCGGTCTGGACTCGCTCCATTGAGGAGTAATTATGATCAGTCAAAAAATGTTCGGGCCAATCAAATTGCCAGGGCGGGCTTTATACGATGATGGACAGATGATCTGCAGTTACGTAGTCATCGCGTTATCAAAGAGCGCTTAACTGGTGGTTTCCCTCAGAGATGACTGCAGCTGGAGAACTGAGATGTATAGTTTCCGCTATCGCGTCTGATGTAAAAGAAATCGACAGCGCATTCACTTTAATAGACGAACAGAGAACTGCAATCAAGGCATTTGTCGATCGGAAAGATGTTTGCCGTCCTTCCTACGGGATTCGGCAAAAGTTTATTTTATCAGCTGGCTCCGATGGTCACTAAGAAGATGGGACGCAATGAAAACCCTGTGGTCGTTGTGGTTTCTCCTTTGGTCGCACTCATGGAGGACCAAGTAAAAGAAGCAACACTCGTTATTTTACTTCTTCCAGCGTGCGTGCATTTGAGTTCTGTAGTTAACAACTGTGCCATGCAAAGTAGTTGACTTACTGCGTTGCTCTCATTGGTTGGAGGTCTATCCAATTGAGTGCAGAGTTTTTTTTCCCTGGTTCGGTTAAGACACGCCTCATAATCAAAGCCCTATGGAGCAGTTTCAGACTCACATTCTGACTAGAATATGAGTATGACGAAGTCAGGCTAAATAATTAGTATTTTCAAAGAAGTTTTTATTTACTAGAGGGAAAATCTTATTTTTTCATGATACCAAAGTGGAAAGAGGTCAAAGAAGATGGAATCCAACTGTGCAGTAGATAGTAGTGAAGGACTTTGTAATGTTATTTCAGTTTTAATTTTAGTAATAAGAGTTGATCGTATATGAAGAGCTTTCATACAAGCAATATAAAGTCATTGGCACGACCGTTGTGCTTTTTCTTTTTCTTTTTTTTTTTTATGTAATTTAATTCCTTTTTTTCCATGTACCATGCATAAATCATATGAATGTTTATACATTTAAGATTATCCACTGGTACAACAGAAACAAGAGCATTTGGTTGGTTGTAAGTTTTTTTTTATGTTTAGCATTTGTTTGGATTTGAGTCCTTCTGTATTTTGTTTTCTATCTGCATGGTGACATCGTAATAACTTGACTCACAAGTCGGAGCTTTATTGCCTCATAAGGTAATGTCGATTGATTGTGCTAAATATTTATGCGCTGTTGATGAGTAGCAGCAATAAAGCTGCTTTACTAATTTAGTTGGTTTATGAGTTAACATTCTTAAACATCTATGGAATATTGTGTTGCACTTACGATAACTTCTCTTTCTCTATGACATGTAGAAGTGGGCGGAATCTGTGAAGAGACGCTAGCGTGTGATTGGTGGAGTTTGGGAGCCCTTTTATTTGAGCTCATAGTTGGAAAGGTAGGAGTATTTAAACACTTGAATCATGTTCAGTGAATCATTTAAAAAAATAATTGATGCATTGTTTGAGTGTGGTAAATTGTATTGGAGGGATAATTGTATTGTTATAATTGTATTTTCATGTAATTTCAACAGCTTAATGTTAAAGGTTAACACTATTATTGTTTAAGTTTGTTGTTGTTCATGTGTATTTTGCTGTGTGTGTTTAGTCTCTATATCAGTGTCATCCTGCTGGCATTGGTAGACACTCATCCCTGAACATCCCAGAGTTTGTGTCGGAGGAGGCACGCTCTCTGCTGGAACAGGTACATATTACCATGGTGGAAAAGTTATATATGCAACCAGAAGTGAGAGGACACAGTGACAGAAGTGGTTGGGCAAGGCCCCAAAAAAACGTTTTGAATCTAAACTGTCAAAAAGGACTCGTTTTGTACTTTGTATTAACAAATTAAAGAGTAAAGAACGGAATTTTCTTGAAAGAATTCTGAGGGGGTGTCAAGCTATTCCCTAAAATAAATAGTTTGACTGTAATGATCTCTCTCTCTTTCTCTGTAGTTGTTGCAGTATAATCCAGTGGAGCGGCTTGGCGCAGGAGTAGCTGGTGTGGAGGATATTAAGTCTCATCCTTTCTTTTCTCATGTGAACTGGACCAATTGAACTATCAGATGCTTTACTAGTATGAGATGAAAGATCGAAACTGTCTGAGATGTCTATATGGACAAAAACAATGTCATAAATGCTGCAGGACACATTTATTTCACAAATTCTCCTGCCTACAAATGGCCAAAGCTCACTGTTGAGTGAGGAAGTCTATAGCAGTGAGAGGAAAATGGATGTTACTGTTTTTGAAATAAAAAAATAAAAAACATTTGTTTAAACCAGGGTTAGCAATTAAGATTCAAGAGCCACTTGAAATAATAGGAAGAGTTTAAGGAGGTTTCCTGTTCATATCAGATGAGAACTATCAACACAATGGCTTCGTTCGAAATCGCATACTCTTGAGTACGTACTTATTCTGAATAAGTAATTTCTTCACTGCCGCTGTGTAGTGTGAATGCAATAAGGACATACTACATTTGCCATGTTGTCATTATCATTTGACCTACCAGTGTCAGTTGTGTTGCTTCACTGCCATTCATAAATCCTGTCCCGTGGCCTCATGGGATAGTAAAGTGTCCATCATATGCACACTTAAGAATCTCTCCGGAAGAAGTAGGTCATCCAGGTACTGTTTGCCTACTCTTTTATGAGTACTGTGAATTCTTACATACTACTTTTGTCGCATACTATATAGTAGAAAAGTATGCGATTTCTGATGCTTCCCAAACCTGGTCCTGGAGTACCTGATTACATCACCGTTTTCTACAGAACTGCTTTATAGATGAAAGGAACTAATTTAATAATTGAGGATCTTTACAACGGAACTGACTTCAGCTGAACAACAGCCGAAATGCATAATTTTCCTGTTTATCACTGTAAAGCTGCTTTGAAACAATCTGTATTGTATAAAGGCCAGTTCAAAGACAAAAGACAAACCGGTTGGCCGTTGGATTTAGCATTTTATGAAAAATAACTTTCATTGGCCTTAAAGCGCTATATAAATAAAGGTGACATGACCTGAAATGTCAGATTAGAGAGACCCAGGACCAGGGGTTGGGACCACTGCTATATGTAACTGTATATAAATCCAACTGCTTGTGTATGGGTGTTTAATTTATAGTGTGTTTTATGAAAAGAAGCTGGCAAATTTCATTGCATGAACATCTTTAGCATGGGCTAAAACACATTTGATGTGATTGTTTGATTTAAATTGATCACATTTATCATTGTCACTACATATTCTTCACTAACCCATCTAATGCTCTATTTATTAAACTCTGTGTCAATGGGTTTATTGGTTCTTTCACTTGGCGTTTTACTTTCTCAAGGATGGTTCATATTCTTGCAGACAAATACAACTATGGAGCTCAATGGCATGCAGAGCTATTTTAAAAAGCACTTTAAAAAGTAAACGTTGAGTGTTACATTAAAGGGTGCAGCAAGCGATTTCTGAGAAGCACTGTTGGAAGTGGATCGGGCCGAGCACCACAACACTTCTAGCCAATCAGCAGTGGGGAAGAGAGATGGCTGAGCGACATTACAAAAGAGAAAAAGTCAGAGGAATATCACTAAAAAAAGAAGGGTTATTATCACAAATCTAAAATTCACATCTAAGATTATATAATTCATGGAACTTTAAGTACTAATTTGACCCTGTAGTTTAACTTCAAGTTTAAGATTTCTGTTTAATCATTAATATTTGTATCAACTATTGTTTTAGTAAAATCCGTTTGAGAATATGTTAAATTCTTATTTCACTGTATAACCTATTTTCCCTTCTGTTAATTACAATCAAAATCAAAGAAATTAAAATCAGGAAAATTGTTTGTGCTGTGAGTTTCTCTCAATTTCACCAGGGAAGAAAATCCAGTTGATTGCCTCGACAGTCCAAGCAAAGGATATTTCGCAAGGCTAGAACAGTTCTTTATTGGGATATTTTGTGCATTTCTTGATATGTTTTACGGCCTGTAGTGTAAAACTCAGAGAAGGCCTCAGGTCACAGAGTTCACTATGTCTCACTTCAGCAGCTCTGAGCAAAACACCAGCCAAAAATGAAATATCAGATGTTTTAATATAAATAACCACATATCTAGCGCACTGATGCAAATGACACTGTAAAATAGTTGTATATATATATGTTGCTTTGATGATAAACCAGGTGATTGCTCTCCACTATTAGGAATGGAGTCTAGAAAAGAGACGGTTGATTGGGGAGGATGGGTGAACAGTATAAAAATGACCTAATGAACGCTCATTGGCCGAGCAAAGTTGGGGGCGAGGTGTGAGAAACTATAAAAGTGAGAGTCTTGACTGAGGTTGTTAGATGTTCTGCAGGCATCTCGGCTTTATTGTCTCTACCAATAAAGTGTTTTTGGCATCTGGAACTCTGTGATTTCTTACAATAATGAGAAGACTTTTTCCATAAAGATACTCTTTTTTTCCCCCCTCTCGAAGAATACCAAAGATGAAAACAAAACACTCACAAAAACCTGGCCTTGCAAAAACAAAGCTGAAATTATCAGCATATAATCATAATAATAATCATCATCTGACCAGCACGGAAGGTCTTTACATGTTACTGTCTTTTCTCGTGGCAAAGTATTTTTGATTAAATGCAATACATTTGCTCATATGTATTTTCTCGTTATTTCATCTGACTCCATAAAAGGTTTTAATGATATCTGTGCATCATTAAATGTGAGTGAATGTTTGACTGTTCCTTTTAACTCTAATGAAAATAATGTCAAAGTCAGTTAGAATAATCAAATGTAACAATTTATTATGTTAGGTAAATGTATCGTTCCAATTTCATAATCAGTTCAAAGATAATCAATACAAAACATCAAATGCTCTGGAATAAAAAGAGGAGACATTAGGAAATACATGAGAGTCTCGGCGGCTCTCAACATTCACGGGCTGATCTGAGGTACAGAAAGGCCCCGAGCCCTTTGCATTTCTTTATATAGACAGAAACTTCTTTCACATGGAAACGTGCTAACATGAACAGGAGGGTTTAACCATCCCACCCTCCTTTGTGTGTATGTTATCTCTAAACTCTTAAAAACCTTATTACCTTTTGTTTTACTTATTTGGAAATGAGACATTTGTACCAGTCGCACTGAGACATTTCAAATGATACCAAACATGTATAAGACTCGATGATAGTCATTCGTATTAAACAATTTAGATTCTTGGGTGAGTTTTTGGTGATCTTCGCATGGGGGATGAGGGAAAGAAATGTAGGTTAGTTGAGACTTTTGTCTCAAATGGTGAGTTCAAATGGTAATTTCCAGAGTGGTCGTTCCTCAACCAGTTCTTCCAGTTTTTCCAGTCTTACATTACTTCTTAAATATCAACTCGCAACATTCAATTTACAACTTATTCAACATTTCAGTACAACATGTACACCAATATACATATACAACGTAACTCATTAACGTTTGAATAAACTGGCATACCAATAAACTGGCAGACGATTTATCATAGATTATCAAATAAGTAGCAATTATGATATCAGTACTCTCATATTTCTCTCTCGTGGCCTGGTGGCCAATCTTTACTAATTTTACATTCCATCAGTAAGAGTGTGAAGTTTGAATTAGCGGAGTTATACTGTACAAAATTTTGCAATCCACACAACATAATGTGAGACATATTAAGAGTTCAAAAGAGGACAAATTGTTGTAAATCGTTTCGCTTGCTCATCTGTGACCAGGTTGGCAAGTCTTTGTGGTGTGTAGAGTGCTATGGGATCCAGGGTAATGTCAGCAAAGCACCACGTAGGACGAACCACATCCAACAGGAGTAACTGTCGACACAAGAGGAAGCAGTCTGAAAGGGACGTCCAGGCACAACACTGTTCCTGAACATACAACTCACACTGCAAAAAATGCTTTTCTTACTTAGTATTTTTGTCTTGTTTCCAGTCCAATATCTAAAAATTCTTACATCAAGACATACAAAATTGTAATACTCCTGTAAAGGATGATATTAATTACAGTAACACAAGTCCAAGCGATGCCTCATCAGCGTTGCTTTATCGTGAATCAAATACAAATTATGTATATCAACATGTGCATAGTTGCATACGTTTGCACAGCTTTAAATTACATGCTGGTCATGTAAGTTCAGTTGGGCATGCACTATGACAACACCAACAGTGTTAAATTATGAAAAAGTTTCATCAAAACAGTGCTGTATTGAATTAAATTATGGTCACATAATTAGTCATAACACCTGCTGTTAAAGGGTTAGTTCACCCAAAAAGAAAATTCTGTCATGATTACTCACCCTCATGTCGTTCCAAACCTGTAAGATTTTCTCTCACCTTCCGAACACAAAAGATCTTTTAGATGAAATCTGACAGCTTTCTGTCCCTCCATTGAAAGTCTACACAACTACCACTTTCAAGCCCCAGAAAGGTAGTAAAGACATCAAATCTCTCAGACTCATCAAAAAGATCTTAATTTGTGTTCTGAAGATGAACGGAAGTCTTACAGGTTTGGAATGACATGAGGGCGAGTAATTAATGACAGAATTGACATTTTTGGGTGAACTACCGGGTAACCCTTTAACAGCATGTGTTATGACTAATTAGAGTGACCATAATTTAATTCAATACAGCACTGCTTTGATGTAACTTTTTCATAATTTAACACTGTTGATGTTGTCACAGTGCATGCCCAACTGAACTTTATTTATAGTTTTCATCATATTCAGTGTGGAAGCAGTTGAACAGAAGACTTTATTTCAAGCAATGGATGTGTTTCAAAAATGTTTTACATGACATAAACTATTTCAAGACCTCTGCACCCATTTGGGGAGTTTTTGTAGCATGCCAACTTTAATATATCCGGAGGAGTTCCTGCCACATTAAGAACTTTGATCATCATCATCATTATAGGTCCAGTAGTCAACATATATGTATTTGTAGTTTTAATTACTTAAGGTATGTTTACAACAATACATCAATGCATTCAGTGTACAGTTAAGACCTTTTAATAAAGATTTGTGATTAGGATTTAATGTTATTAATTTGTGTATTGTGTCCATATTTGTATAGGTTATTGAATTAAATGTAGGTTATTAATGTGTAGTTTTAAATGTAGTGTTCATTTAGAATTTTTGTGTTCTGTACTGTATATTTTATGTATTTGTACTACATTTTTGTGTAGGTTTTGAATGTGTACTGTTTGTACATATTTGCAAAGGTTTTGAATTTATTATGTGTGTTGTATGTACACTTGTGTATTTTGAATTTATGTACACAATTATGTATATTTACATTAAATGCTAGACTCTCCAATATATAGTTTGCAATTTAAAAATATATTTGTTGAAACATATGTATTGTTCTACACAAATAAACAATCTGTATTTGAAAACAATGTGTATTTTATTTATTAAAATAAGGTCTGGAGTTTAACCCAATGCATTGGGTTAAAATAACAGTTGGGAAGGTGCTATTCCACCCCATAGTTGGGTTATTTTAAACCCAACATTTTTAAGTGGGTAGTTTTAGTCTTAGTTTCAGTTTTGTTAACCTTGGTGGTGAGAAAATATAACAGAATTTGAATTTTCTGTAAACTATTACTTTAAGAAAGTTTGTGCATGTTTGATAAATGAAATGACAAACAGGCTATGACAAATATGCATTTTAACTGGTTTCACGTGGTTACCATTGAACTGCTTTAGTTACACACAACTATTGGACCAAAAACAAAGAGTCCACTTTTAGGAATAGATAGAATTTAAAATGAACTTTTATTAAGTTAAAAAAAGGAAATGAAGTGTTAAAACATCTGCTAGCCAAAAGGCTGTCTATGTAGGGCATTCACACGGGATTGAGACACGGCCACAAACTACGTCAGTGCTTAATTTCCCCACAGGTAAAACAACACACCTGAGCGCTGAAGCAGGAAGAAATCAGACGAATGGGGTTCTCAGGACATCTTTCGACAGGAGACCCGTGAATTTGAATGAATTCCAGTGAAAAGAAACAACGATAAGCGATTTATACCAGTCAATTCGGCTGACACTACAGCTGAAGTGGATTGGAGTGATTTTGAGGACTGTATGCGCAAGTATATCAGGGTCACTTTAAATCCATCAGAAATGGGTTCGTGGTGTTTTCGTTTCGCGTGCTTACTTTTTATTGTAGGTGTTTATGTCGGAGAAACCCAGAGCGAGATGTCCGACCAACAGTGTGTAAACGCATTCATGGAAGGTCGGGAAGACTTTGTTTTGGACACGGAAGAGTCGATCAAGGATGGGGCGGTTTTCCTGGCGAACCCGGGCGTCGAGGACAGTATCGCGTGCACTGTCGCGTGCTGCGGGCATCCCAGATGCAACTTGGCCTTCGTAGAGCAAGGAAACGAGAAGGGCTGCTTTCTCTTCAACTGCATATACAAGGATAAATATGTCTGCAGATTTGTTCATAAGGAGGGGTTTAAAAATTATGTATTGGATTCAGTCTATGACAACTACCTGAACGGCCGCAAAACTGGTAAACTTTATTCAGGCTACATTCACTTTTTTTTTTATTATGCTCATTATAAAACATTACCACCCATGCTTAAGCCTAACAGCCTAAGCTGTTTTGCTGGTTTACACTGGTCTGGTGTCTCAGTTTGCTCAGCTGGTTCATTCTGTTGTGAAGTGTCCAGAATATCTATAAAAAAAACAGCCAAGATACCAACTAAGCAAATCATTTTAGACTGTCTTAAAATGGGCTTGTGTTTCTCTCTCTTTTTGATTTTAAAATAGAAACCTTTATAAAGCTTTCTTTATTTATTTATTTGTAGTTTTGAATAGGTATAGGCTACATGGTCTAATTGCATTCATCCACAAATACTTAAGGGTATAGGTCACCTAACAAAATTAAATAATGTCATTAATTATGACAAAATACGATATTTTTAAATGATATCTGAGCGATTTATGTCCCTCCATTGACAACTAAGCAACTACCACATTGAAGTTCATTAAGAGATCATACAACTAATCAATGTGAATTGAGCAGTTAAGTCACTTTTTATGCTAATCAGATTTAATTTAGGTTTTTTTTCACATATTCATATGGATTAGTTTTACAAGCTCTTTCAAACTTTTTGATGTGTCAAAGTGTTAGTTGTGTAGCTGTCAATGGAGGAACAAAATTCGCTCAGATTTAATTAAAAATATCTTCATTTGTGTTCCAAAGACAACGAAAGTCTTGCAGGTTTGGAACAACATTGGAAAACGTGCATTTGTTCCCCATCCACACGTGTTTTTCAAAGCAAAAATTCGTTCTGTGTGCCACATCAGTGGAACCCTGTGGAGAATCTCTTGGCCTCTTTTAAAAATGCCTCAAAGTAAAACTCATGATGTATTTCATATTTATGATACCATGGAGGAACTTTTGACTTTCTTTAGAATTTTTGCAGGAATATATGGGTTTCATTTTGTGACTCTGAGAAATGCTCTTTTTGAAAGGGTGGCTAGAGGTTCTCTAGAGGGTTCTGATCTGGAGATCCCTGGTGCCCCGGGGGTATCTTTATTTTTGGATTTATAAAAGATGGATTATGTGTCTTTAATCAAGCTAGGTGCAATTAAATTAATTTCATTCTTATTGAAATCTGAGTGATTGTCATTTTAACAATAATATGAAATTTCTTCAGATAAGAAGGACAAAGCTCCCATTGCCAATGCTGGACGAGATGTGGTGGTCCAGCCTCATGAAGAGGTGTTTCTGAATGGCATAGAGAGTTGGGATGATGGGAAGATCGTAAAATACGAATGGAGCCTCATCCGTGGAGATGAATCTGTCAAGATGGAGGTATGAGAATATGATCAGACATGTTATGATATTAATAATGTTGTTATGTAATTATGTTTCCAGTTATGATGCTAAGATTAATTTAAAAGCTTATTGAATAATTGTTTCTTTGAGATCTTAAATTGATAGTTCACCCTAAAAAACAAAAAAAAAGAAATTCTGTCATTTACTCACCCTCATGTAGTTTTAAAATTGACTTACTTTCTTCTTTAGAACAACAACATAATTTTTTTCCATACTGAAGTCAAATGTAACCAAAACTGTTTGGTTGCCAACATTCTTCAAAATATTTCTTTGTGTTAGGTGGAAGAGTAAATGATGACAATTTAATTTTTGGCTGAACTATCCCTTTAATTAGGACTAATGATCATTTTAGTGCAATTCAGTGGAATGAAATGCCTTTCCCAACGTGTTCTCAGTGGCTTTGGCTTTAAGACCCAGATCGGATGACATGTAGCAACAGACTTGACACATGGGTGACAAGTAGCAGTCACCTATGACTCACTGTTGTTTTATGGCATAATAGGAATAAAACCCAACATGTGATCTGTTTCTAAACAACTGTTCCACAGAAAACTGATTTTCTGGACCAGTTAAGGGTGTCCAACCTGATGCCTGGGCTGTATGAGTTCAAACTGACCGTGACGGATTCAGCACACCATTCTGATTCAGATCAAGTTTCTGTCCTGGTTCTCACCTCTGAGCAATCTGAGCGTGAGTTATCTTTGATCATGTTTTTCCCAACCACTCCCAGACTTTTACCTTTACCTTTGAATGAGGCTCAGGGTTTATCCCACAGTAAATGAGAAACAAGCTATTATTATTATTTCAACCCTCTTTGTGGAGTTGTTCTTCTTCCTGTAATGTTTAGGAATACCATAGTAAAATATTTTAGCCCAATTACACCTGGACTTTTATTTTGAAATATTAGCTGTTCAAACAAATAAGTAGTCTATTAACTAGGAAAAGTTGTGTACTAAGTTTTTTACTATGAATATTGTTGGCTGTTATGACAAACTCTTTTGTTAGTCGTTTTGGATAAAACCATCTGCTAAATATATAAATCTAAAAAGGAAGGTTTTCAGATGTCTAAATGTCGTAAGCTTACAAATGACTCTGAAATGTAGTGCTGTTAGGTATGACTCTGTTTTTATTGTTTGAGAAGGCTTACCGCTCCCTCTATGAATGTAGAACCGGTTTGACGTGTTGCAGGGTTTGAGTCACAGTTGCCCAGTATGGATAACTGCTCTGCTAAACAACACACAATACAGCAAGGACTTAGAAGAGGAGCGATAGAATGAAAAATGAAAAAGTGGCAGTGTGACAGGAAGCAGAATATTGATAATGTATTTTATAGTAAATTGCAATAAAGCGCAAAGACTGAACTCAGTGAAGAAACCATACATTTACAATAAATTGAGTAAAATCACATGTATACTTCAGTATAAATGAGGTCAGTTTTAGCAACAGTTGAATCACATGAAAATGCTTTTTACTCACCATCTAATCACCCTTTTTATGTGACACATCTTTGTCTGGTACATGACTACAACAGTACATTTGTGTAATGCAGTGTAATTACATTTTGTTTCATATGGTAGAAGACAATGTGGATATTCCTCTACTTTGATGTTTTGCCAACAAGGTTAGAATTTCAAAGTAAACCTATGAATCTATGAATTGCATCGAAAAAAAATATTTTTGTAATTAGTGTTTTGATCTTGTTTTCCGGGGGGGGGGGGGGTCCATAAAAGAACAAATTTACTTTACACAAATGTGGTGTATATTGGGGAATTGTTTTGTTTTTTTAGGCATAAATCATACAAAATTTTAAAAGGGTTGTGCTAAATTATCAAAAATAGGTACATTCGTAATGAAATGCCTTTGACTATCGGGTAGAAGTCTGAGAGCTCTCGCGAGCACCCTTCTGAAACCTAAAATTACGAATGGGACACCCTACGTGTCCCTACAAGTGCACGAGAATAGTTCTATTTGGGAGAAGGCTATTCTCTTTTTGCTTTTGATGGTTGATTAACATTAAGGCCATAGATCACAGTAGGAATATTACGGTATGTTTACACGACGACAGTGTTTTCAAATGAAAACAGAAAACTTTTTATGCGTTTTGGTCTTTCATTTACACAACAACAGCATTTTGTGGGCTTGAGAACACAAGCTTTTGAAAACCGTTTTCACAAAAGCATTTAAAGGTATAGTTCACTTTGAAATAAATTTTTTATGTTTTAGACTACCTCAAGGGCATCCAAGATGTAGGTGTCTTTGTTTCCGCAGAAGTTTCAATTTTGATATTTTTAGGTCAAACCGTTCTTGTCTGTCAGTCATATAATGCAGGTCTATGGTCACCACCTCAAAGAGCATGCACAGAGAAGTCCAAATTAAACATGATTTAATGACTCGTAAATGTAAGTACACATTTATGGCCTAAGACACAAAACAAGCGGTTCGTGTGAGAAAACGAACAGTATTTATATCGTTTTTACCTCTTGTAACGTACAGACCGAAGCGCCGGCGCCCTCAGATCACTTGGACGTGGCTGTGGTTAATGTTTCTTGACAAAGTGGCATCGCCAACTACCGGCCTGCCATGCATAATACAGGCTTTTTAGTTGTAATGTTGTCTAGAATATGAGTGTATTAATGAAGCAGTGAGGGAAACAGAGGCTGAAATGAGCAGCTTTAGTCTGTGCTGCACAGTGAAAGAAGTGAAGACACCTCGTCACTGGACCACAGAGATGTCTGCATTATACTAGAATTGTCTGTGTGACCTACACATTGACACAACCTTCTGCAACAACGTCTGACGTGTTATGTGGCGTGAGAACGTGACGTAGGCAGAAAAGCTACACGAAATCCGATCAGTGCGGTCCGACTGAAACAGATTTCTAGAAGTGAGATTTGAATAGGATTTTAAACCACATATGATTGTAGCTTGAAACAGATTTGTAAAAATTAGATTTTATGTGAAATTTTTTTTTTTTTTTTTGACATTCACACTTGCTAAATATGATCGTATTCCAATCAGATATAAACAAAAATCGGATCTCGACTGGCAGTCTGAACAAGGCTAAAGAGTCTGAAAACGGTTTGTTAGAAGATTCTGGGCCCTATTTGAACGATCTAAGCGCATGGTCTAAAGCGCACGGCGCAAGTGCACTTATGGCATGTCTGAATCCACTTTTGCTAGTTTAACGGCGGGAAAAATGGTCAGTGCGCCCAGCGCAAGGTATAAAAGAGTTGTCCCTATTCTCTTAATGAGTAATGGGTGTGTTTTGGGTGTAACGCGCTATATTTTTTAATATTTGGCATGGTTGTGTGTGCAGCTACTCCCCTGTGTGTGTAATAAGCAGAGTGTACGCGCGTTGTGGACCCGCCTATAGGTTTACATAGGTTTACTAACGCGCTCTTTAAATAAAACTAAAAAGAATTGCGCCATTGACTTTGGTCAATGGCACAGTCTATTTCAGTTGCCTCAAAATAGCAACGCAGCAACAATGCGCCTGAACACACCTCGTTTACAGACCATCAGCCCATGGGCGCAAATGCATTTGCTATTTAAACATCGTGGCGCAGGACGTGAAAATGATAACTGCGCCGGGCTGAAACTAGCAAAAAACACTTGCATCGTGCCTGGCGCCGCATTGCACTGGGTATATGATAGGGCCCTCAGTCTCTCTAAACCCCTACTTTCCGAGACCCTACCCTGCTCTGATTGGTCAGACGGACCAGTCTGTTGTCATTGGTCTACCTCTTACAGCACGTTTCGGAAAAAAAATGTCCATTACCATATCTGAATTTCAGCTGCATTGGCTTCCTCAGCGCTTGTATACACACTGACTGATACAAACAGTAATGTGTCGTTTATTTCTGTATCAATTCGCATAAAAATGTATAAAACTCGTCCTTTTTGGAAGTGCATGCAAAGTGGATTTGCAGCACTGAAAACAATGTCTTCTTGACATGTCGACAACACTAACCAAACTCTTCCAGGCCTCAGTAAAAACTACAGTGTTTGAGGGCGGGTCAAAGTAGATGACGTTCGTGGCCAGCCAATGAAGACCTTAGGCTGGCTTTATGCGAATTTGTTACATAGGTATGTAACAGGAAGTGAGACTGGAATTGCTGGTGACTCGTTTCGGCAGTTCAGAATCGTTCCTTTCTTTCAGGAAACAATAACTTTATCTGTTGTGCACTTGATCTTTAACACTTTGCAGACCTTTCACATTCCAAAACAGTTATATTACACACTGCATAAAAGGTCATATTTGAAAAAGCATAATAGAGTCCCTTTAATGCAAACAATCCCTTTAGCACAATAGGAACTTTGTGTACACCCCTGCATCTTGAACAGGTGCCAAAACCGTTGATCCGATGTGCAGGTTTCAACAGTATCTTAAACTATAAAATTGACTTGCAAATAAGGAACATGTCATGTCTTGTCATCCATGCTAACAACTGCTCATAAGCGATTGTATTTGCCCATTCACTCATTTCTACATTTTCTTTAGTTTCCTTTTATTTTATTTTCATTGTATACATGTAATTACGTATATGAGGAGGCTATCCCATTTATTTTTCTTTTTTTTGTGGATTAGTGATTCTTGCTTATTCGCTCTAAAAAATTCTGGGTTGTTTCAACCCATGTTTGGGTCAAATATGGACAAACCCAACCGTTGGGTTTAAAAATTTAATTTTAGAGTGTACTTAGTTTGTTCAAATCCCTAACCCTAAGTATTAAACTTATGACTGGTGGTCCAAATAGTGTGGCTTGTTGAGAAGAGGTGTGCACTTTTCTAAGCAATTGGCTAGTTGCATATGCTGGCCATGTTGGATTTCTGGTCTAGTGAGTGTGCGCATAGACCCTTCTGGTTTTGCCTGATGAGAGAGCCGGAGAAAGATGAAAATTAACTTTTATGGATGTTTATCATAATATCACTTAAATACTACTAAGATCTACACTCACCAGCCACTTTTTTATATACACTACTAGTACTTGGTTGGACCCACTTTTGCCTTCAGAACGGCCTTAATTCTTCGTGACATAGATTCAACGCGTTGCTGGAAACATTCCTCAGAGATTTTGGTCAATATTGTCATGATAGTGTCATGCAGTTGCTACAGATTTGTCGGCTTTGAGTTAATGAACTTATTGTCATGTTCAAGAAACCAGTTTGAGATGATTTGAGCTTTGTGATATGTTATGTTATCCTGCTGGAAGTACCCATTTGAAGATGGGCACTAGGGTTATAACTTTTTGACTATTTTTCAGGTAAAAGATTTCCTGTATCATAAATGATGAACTTGTGCTTAATGACAATGAAAAAAGCCATAATTCCTCTAAAAAAAAAAAGGTTACCCCAGATAAAAAATTTGAAGAACCATATAACAAACATTACTGCTTGTAAGTAAGTAGCTCTTTCTAAAATGTTCCAGAACTTTCTGGAACTTAATTTGTAAATCCCCTTTTTTGATATCCAGGATCAGGTAATCCATCTTTTTTTTTTTTACCGGTTTTTCAAAGCAAAATAGGATTGGATCACCCTGATCCAGATACACACTTTCAGATGATCAAATCCAGATTACCAATGGGGTTACATTTCACAATGTAGGCTGCTTGCTATGTAAAGAACAGGTAGAAGAGTCAATGGTTAGCTTTGGATGTTTTTTGGTCATTTTGTAATTAAAATGACATCCATG